TTTCTTTTTTTTTTTTTTTTTGAAAGCCCACATTTCGCTAGAAAATCGTAGAGCGACTCAATTCAATAGACATCAGCTCCTATCGCCAAACTCCAATTTAAACCAACAACACATACGAAATCATTCTCTCGCTCCTTTTTTTTTTTTATAAGTTTTTCGCACTTGCTTCCATCTCGCGCTCGTCCCCATCTCCACGCATCGGATCTCTGCTTTTTGATGTCCTGATTCTGCCGTCCTCGTCTCACCTCGCTTGTGATTGCTCACCCGCCTTTTTGCCACTTCTTTTGCCCGTTTGTACCGCAGTTTCAATCCACTCACCAAAATGTCTGGTCGCCCTCAACTCCGTGGCCTCGTCCACAAGCAACTCATGAAGGACATTGGCCTCGCCTTTGTTGTCGGCGGCGCTGCCATGCTCGCCTGGAACGCCACCATCAAGTGGCCCACTGAGCGCCGATACAACGAGTTCAACAAGCAGCTCGCTGAGGTCAAGAAGCGCGCCGCTGCCACCTGGAACCAGTAAAACCCAAATGGCTATGGATGCGGTATCTACAAGAAGCCCCGATTTCTCCAATGCAGCAAACTGAGTCCAGCGTCTGTCGAATCAGTATTCGCTTTTGGCCAAAACATTGCTCCTGCTTTTGGCCCCTCTACTCGTCGTCATTCGCAGTCTTGGCTCTACCGCTGTGTTGGTTTTGTTTGTGCTTTTGACCATACCTCGTTCTGTGTCTTTGATTTTTGGTTGTACATGAAAAGAAAACAAATTACCCTCGAGAACTCTTTCCCAGCCGTTCCCGCTCGCTCGCCTTTGACCATTCTGTTTCTGTCGAATCGCAGGACCAGATCCACATTGCTCTGCGTGTCCATTGTCTGCAGAATCGGTTTGCTCGTCCAAATTCTCCACAACTTTGGTTTCAGCCACCCATTCACTCCACCACCTCTCTGCCTCCCATCACAACCAATTCATTACCACTACTTGCATTACCCAACCCCCTCCCCAGATTACTCTCCAATCTGGAAATCCCTCTGCTATGCTTCTGCTTCTGCCAGTCCATCTTTTCCAAATCAAAATCTCCGTACCTCGCTTTTTTCAATGAGCCGCAGTAGCAAAGACGAGCGACGCGGACTGATGTCTGTTGACGACGGCAATCCGTCATCGGCATCTGCATCGTCTTCATTCGAGTCCTTTGCTGGCCCCAAGCGCGCTGGATCGGTGCGTCGCACGGGTGGTTGTCGTCGCTGCCGCCGTGCTCGTGGTCACCGCCGCGGTCGTCGCCGGTGTCGTCAGCTCGCTCTCCAGCTCAGACGACGACAACCATCACGACGGCCCTCCGACAAACAGGAGCGACTATCTGGGTCGGGCGCTCTATCTGCAGTCCAAGTTCCCCTTGATCGACGGGTAACAAAAGTGTTTTTCCGAATACGAATCCATTGAATTCAGCCGCCAATGCATTTCAAGTGCGACGACGACGACTTACGGTGATACTGAAATGCACATATGCTTTCTATATGTGTTGATGTGTGTGAATTTTGACAGACATAACGATCTGCCTTACCAGCTCCGAATCCAATTCGGAAACAACGTGTCGCTCGCTGATCTTGCTGGCGGTCTCAACACGACTCAGACAGGTAATGCAGATACTCTCGGCTAGATCTGCTGCTGCTGCTGACTGCTGCTCGCGGTTGTTTGGTTGAGGCCGGGGGGGAGGAGGTGGAAGTTGCTTTGGGACCTCCGCTCACTTTTTCGTGTTCTCTTCAGACATTCCTAAACTTCGCGCAGGCAAGGTCGGAGCTCAGTTCTGGGCGTGCTATGTCGACTGCAGCACGTCCCAGTTTACCGATGCTGTGCGCACCTCACTCGATCAATTGGATACCATCAAGCGCATTGTACGTTGTGTTTGCAATGTTGACAAACGACAACCCAAAAAAACTGGACCCCTCTTTGTCTTGGTAGGTCGGAAAGTACCCCCACGTCTTTGCAATGGCCTACACGGCCAATGACATCCGTACTGCGTTTGCGCAGGGCAAGATTGCCTCGTTGATTGGCGTGGAGGGTGGCCATGCCATCGACTCGAGCCTTGCCACATTGCGCATGTTTTACGATCTGGGCACCCGTTACATGACTCTGACGCACACCTGCAACACGCCGTGGGCTGACTCGTGCGCGCAGACCCCCGTCCTGAATGGTCTGTCGGACTTTGGTCGCGAAGTCGTGCTCGAGATGAACCGGCTGGGCATGCTGGTGGATTTGAGCCACGTTTCTCCCGACACGATGCGCGCAGCCCTCGACACGTCCGTCGCTCCCGTCATTTTCAGCCACTCATCGGCCTATGCCTTGTGCAACAATGCTCGCAATGTGGTAAGGGTGATGATTGTTCGAATTCGTACTTTCTTTTTCGGCGCAGTGTTTCCTCGTTTTCTCATTGCCTGCTCTTTGGTGGTGACACTCATTTTTTTTGTGTGTAATCTACTTCAACTTTGATCCTCGATGCAGCCTGATGACGTGATTGAACGCATGCCTGCGAACGGCGGTCTGATCATGGTCAACTTTTATTCTGGATTTATCAACAGCACTGGCACTGCTACACTCGAGCAGGTGGCCGATCACATTGTCTACATTGCGGGAAAGTCGAGCTGGGACAACGTGGGTCTTGGCGGCGATTACGATGGCGTCGCCACCCTCCCAGTCGGTCTTGAGGATGTCAGCAAGTATCCGTACCTGACTGCCGAGCTGCTTCGGCGCGGTGTCTCGGACGAGAATGTCAACAAGCTGAATGGCGGCAATTTGTTGCGTGTCTTTGAAGCTGCCGAGAAGGTATTGTTGTTGTTGTTGTTGTTGTTGATTTTGAAGCCCTTTGTCTTTTTGCTGATGCCAATCTGCCTGCATGTCTCGACTCATTGGTTTTGTCGTTGGGTGTCAGGTGGCTCAACAATTGCAACAAACGACCATTCCGTCAGAAGCTGCGATTGGCAAGTACTTGAACTACAGCTGCCGCCCTGATTTTTGAGTACCCGCATTTTGTTTTTTTGTTGTTGTTTTTTTTCTGTTGTTGAGTGCTTTGACTGCTCGTGTCGGTCTCTCCCCAATAACACCATCATGTTGATAGTTCCATCTGCAAACTACAGTACTGTACAGTAGCTTGAGCACAATACGAGAACAAAAGGTTCATTATTTTGCTCTGAGAAAAAAAAGCACAGATCTTGGTTGGAGAGAAAAATACAAGGGCAACAAGGGAGTTTTCACGCAACAATCATCGTCATCATTGCATTATCGCTGAATTCCGAGATTTCGCTCGCGACGCTCTCGCTCGAGCCTTTGAGTGCGTTGGTAGGCGACCTGGCGTTGTCGCTTGGCCAGCTTTCGCTTGTGCTCGCGCTTGCGACGGGGTGAATTGACACGCTTGTGAGGCACAATTGGTGCCGGGGTAGCTGGTGTGCTGGAAGCGGCCGGGCTAGAGGCTACAAACAGCGGGCCAGGAACGGGAACGACAGCGCTGCCCTCGCGCTCAGACGCCGAAAGGACTGATTGTGTGGGTTGGCTGGTCTGCAGGCGCTCGGCGGCCACATAGCTGTCACGGATGAGAGCGCGGGTGCGCGGGCGGGTGACGAGATGCAAGTGCAAAAAGTCTTCCAGTGCGGCGACTGCCTTGGTGGTCAGCACGAGCTTTGAGTATTTCATAATGTCGTAGACACTAAGCGCGTCGACCGAGACAGCTTTGACCGTCTGCATGGTGCTTGCGCCGCGGATGAGGTTTGGCGAGGCCTTCTCGTCAACCAACAGAGCATTGGTCAGGTTGTTGCTGCGCAGAATGTGGCCCACATACTTGGCCTTGTGCACGATGGGGCTGAGCGAGTCGACGATTTGCAAATCTCCCTGTGCGTACTTGATGGAAAGCGCTGCGCGGAGAGCAAAGCGGCGAACGGTTTTGGGCAGAACGTACGCAAAGCTCTTTGGCTTGGGGCCGAAGGCAACACCACCACCGCGCATCATGGGCGAGCGGATGGAACCGAGACGTGCACGACCAGTGTGCTTTTGCGGGCGGGGCTTGCGACCACCACCGCGCACCTCCGCCTTGGTCTTGGTGCTGGCGGTACCAGCGCGCTGGCAGGCGAGATGCCACAGCACGTAGCGATGGATGAGGTCGGTGCGAGGTGCTGCGCCAAATACATAGTCGCTCAATGACATCAAGGTGCGCTGTGTAGGGATTTCGCGCATGACCACGTTACGAGGGACGTGGATCTTGCCCTCGCCGTCCATCAAGGTCGCAGATTCTTCCGCAGTTGCGGGGAAGACGCGTCGCACCCACGCTTCGCGCTGGCGTGTGACGGAATTAACAAGGAGCTGCTTTGTCTCTTGTGGCAGCATTTGCAAGAGCTCTGTTGGCGTGAATTGAGCCGCTGATGAAGCCAAGGCACAGAAATAGAACGTAGAGTGTCATGATCAAAAGAAGGGTGAGTACTCTGACAGGAGGCTTTGACAAAATCACCGCAACAAAAAAAGCGCAGGCGAGAATACGTACGTCGCAACAACGGCTTTCCTCGGCGCACCAGCTTGGCTCGTGCCTTCTGGGATTTCCGCAGGAGACGGAGTGCCTCTGCAGGGTTTTGGGAAGCAACGGTTGCATCTTCTGGCTTGAGCAGGTTGAGGTACAGCGGGACTTCGGGATTGTTCTGCTCGAACGCGCGAGTGCGGAGCTCCTTCAAGTGCGCCAGCTTCTTGCTCCGGAGTTCGCGCAACGCTGCGCGCCGTGACAAGGTGGGCTTTGTTGTCGTGGTAGTAACAGCAGCATCAGCGGCGGCTGTGGTGGTCGGCTCTCCAGCGTCTGAAGCTTTCGCAGCAGCGGTGCTCTGTGCCAATGAAGCAGACAGTGAGAATCAGCCGTTCAAAAGAGGAGCCAGTTTGTCTCGTATTCAAGATTAATATGTGAACTGAATGCGATGGCTGCGGCAGCTATCGACGAGAGCAAACAGTAAGAGTGAAAGAAGGGAGCGATCTCAAAAAAAAAAAAAAAGGATCGACCATGCGCCTGTTGCATTGGGGCAGTGGGGCAGTGGGTCGCAGCGACCTCATCGGCAGCCACCATCCACGATGCAGTAATGGGAATGCTTGTTGATGAGTGGCGGCCAAAAACAACGATCGAGGGGTCGGTTGGCAATGGAAGAGCAGCAGCAGCAAAATAAAATACAATTTTTTTTTTTTTTTTTTTGGCTGAAGCTTGTATTACCACATGGAAGGAACGGGCTGCCAAGACGGAGAGCGGCGATACTGCTGCTCGTGATGGTGATGATGGTGATGCTGTTGCTGGCGATGCTGCGATGGCGAGCAGCGATGCAGATGGGGAAGCAGCGGGCCGCGAAAGTAACCGCGTCGTCGCAGCCAATGCAGCTCGCAGCATGTCGACTTTGGGAATTGAACTTTGGGAAAGGGACTGAGGCAAAGGAGAGATCAAAGAAAAAATGAATACAACTCAAAAAATAGGGAATACACCAGATCAAAGAGAATGGATGACGATGGAAAGATGGACGAGGGGAAAAAAGAAACACAAAAAAAAAAGGTTTTGTACAACATGCTCACTCACACCAATAACGTTCAAAACAAGCAACACATCAGACAACTGACAGCCACAAGATACAAACAAGCAACAATGCAGCATGCTTTTGATCACCAAAAAAACGCCGCTTGGGCGCTTGGGAGGAATATCTTGCTGTTCTGGCAAACTCGCCCAATTTTTTTTTTCTTCACCATTTTACCAGGAGAGCTTGGGGATGTTGAGCTCCTCGGGCAGAGAAATGTGCAGCTCATCGATGACGGGCTTGAGCTCCTTCATCATCCAGGGGTAGATGCTCTTGTCAAGGTTGGACTTGACGCGGATGGCCTCGAGGGTGCGGACGGCGAGGGCGAAATCGTTGTGGCGGCGGGCCTGGCGAAGGGCAGCGGCGACGATCGCGGGCTCCGGGATGACGTCGTGTGCGAGCAGGGTGTTCAGGCCGTTTCGGAGCTCCCACAGGTCGAGGTTGGGGTCCTGGAAGTAGGCGAGCCAGCGGGCATCAAACTGAGCGTCGGTCTCGACGTGGTGGCCGGCAGAGTAGGCGCGGACGGCAGCGACCTGGGTGGCCTGGGCGGGGACTGTCGTTTTGGGTGGAAGGGGTCCGGGGGGGTTGTGTTTCGTGTCAAGGCAGAAATCAAAAAGGTGAGAACAGGACAGGAGGATGAGAGGAAGGGCTTTGAATGGGGGACAGCATTGCCTTTTCGCTGGGTCGAGCAGTACGAGAGCAAGAGTCTCACAAAGGCACATGAAGCACCACGAGTTGAGATCGACAGGCGGTCTCCCGGAAACTCCCACCGGCACCCGATGAGAAACAAAATGGAAGCAAACGTGGGGAGCTGGTTGAAGGAAGAGGAAAAAAAAAAAAAAAAAAAAAAAGATGAGGTTGATCTTTTTTCGTTTTCTTGCTGCTTCTTTTGCATTGCCATTGCTGGTGGCGGCTGCCCGGTCTGGTTGGCGTGAGGAGGCAGTGACCGATGACGAGAATGTTGGAGGGAAGAGTTCGTGGAGCACAGTGCCGGAGCAGGCAATCAGGAAGGATGAAGGGAAAAAAAGGAAGGAAAAAAAAAAAGCGTGATCTCGCTCTTCGTGTAGCGTTGCTAGAAAAGGCCAGGGGAGAGGGGGCCGGGTGCTGGGGAGGCAAGAGTGGAGTTGGAATCGAGGAACGAATGGGGGGGTTACCGGTGGCGAGGCGCGACGAGGCGACGGCCGATCGGAAGAGCGTGGACGAAACTGCGCGCAGCATTGTGAAAATCAAAAAAGGAGTGAAATAAAAGAAAATGGGTGAGGATGAATTGAGCGTTTTGGGTGATGCAGAGCAGAGTACTCGGTACTGGTCAGGCTTGACGTTACTTGTGGCAGCAGTGAATTCAATTCTTGAAACCGTTTTCAAAAGCCTGGAATCTGTCCTCTCGAAGGCTGCATTCGCGGGGGTCAGCCGTTGCGATCCAAACGCTCGACTTTGACGCGCTGCTGCAATCAGGTAGCAGGTGTGGTGATGGGTTTGACCTAGCTAGCTTGTGTGAAAATTTTCTACTTGTTTCTGAGAGGCGCGAAAGGCGGGACAGCTATGGACGACAAGAACTGGAAATTCTGTATCTGGCACGCGAAAATCGGTCGGTGGAGTCGACAAAGACCCGTGATGCTACCAAAGTTGAATTTTTAAAATGTCCGGACAAAGTTGGAAGGATTGCTTTGTGTGTCTTGAAGTATTGCTGAAGTGGTGTAAAGTTGGGAGCCAGTTATCGTCTTCAACATGTGTGATTCGGCTGAACCCGTTTGGATTCCTATCAAAAACGGCTTTGATATTTCCGCTTGAGTTCTGGAGCGTCTGCCGATAGAAATACACGGAAATATGACTTGTCAGATGTTTTGTTGACTCTGGTCTCGAATCTGGGGTCCTGGGGGACGAGTGCTTCAACCAAAAGTTTGGCTGATTTTCTTTATTTCCCATGCTCATGTGAACGAATCATGACTGCAATCGCCCAGCATCAGTTTCAACAAGCGATGTTTGGTGCTATAGCACAGTTGGTAGTGCGTCTGGCTACGAACCAGGAGGTCGCAGGTTCGAGCCCTGCTAGCATCGCTTTCTTTTTTTTCTCCTTTCCGTTTTTTTTTTTGTTTGGTTTCTTTTTTTTGTCATTTAAACCCTCGCTCAACTTGCCATCTGTTACGGTTGAGACCACTTGGATCTAACCCACTCTTGTTATTTTGTATTAAATACGAGAATCTGTTATGGATTGATGTGTATCTGTATTTGGAGTGTGTTCACTCGTCGCTTTGTATAAGTGAAGTCTCTTGTTTCCCTATCATCACTCTCATCATCAACCCATTACTCGTATCTTCGTGGAAGGATCTCTGATCATAACACTGCGACGAGTCTCGAGGGTCGAGTAATTGATGTCTAAGGTGACGACTAGAGTAGGAACCAGGAAATTGAATCAGAATCAAGCAATGCCCAATAACGAGCAGGGCGTCGATACGACGGCGCCCACTGCGGGCACGTCGAGCGCAACAAGCGCACCAGCTGAACCAATGAGCGCGCAAGAGATGATGCGAATGATGACTCAAGCGATGGTTTCCTCAATGCAGGAGGTCGTCAAGGAGGCGATGCGCAAGGGAACCGCTGAGATCGCTGTATCAAGCCATGCGGCCTCCACCACCACGGCAAGCCCCACCACCAGCACTGAACTGTGGAGACATGGCATGCAGGTGACACCCTTCGATGGGACGCTGTTGGATCTGGAACGTTTTGTCACGGACATCCGACGCAAGCTTGAGTCAGTGACGGCACCCGAGAAGGACAAGGTCGACTTTGTGCTTGGTCATCTGGGTGTCGCAGCGAGGCGTTACTGTAGCCATGTCAAGTTCGAGACTGCGGAAGCTCTGCTGGAGTACATTATGAATGTGTATGGCGTCAAGAACAGCAAGAATAACGCACTCAGGGAAATCATCCAAGCGGTGGCGGATCCAAAGATTTCTGCGAGGCACTTCAAGAAGGTCATGCTGTTGAATGTGCCCAAAGCGGAACTTACGGATGATTTGGTGAGGCGCTTCATTGTGCTGCAAGCGGAAGACAAAGGCGTGCGCGATGTGGCGAAGGAGCTGTGCAAGGACACCACCGAGATGACGTGGATTGATGCATTGAACGAGTTGGTCGAAAGCATGCCGAGCAAGGTACGAGCGGAGACCAGCACCAGTAGTCAAGCTCCCAGGCACGTCCAAAAGCCGAATCGAGACAAGAACGGTCATCACGCAGGCAAGAGCAAGGACAAGGACGTCAAGAGCTGCAAGCACTGTGGCAGGACGAACCACAAGTCGGAGGCATGCTATTCCAAAGGCGGCACTGCGGCTGCGGCTGCGGGCAGTTCCGAGGAGGAGTCTGATGACTCGGACGATGCTCCTGCTCCCAAGAAGGCTCCCAAGAAGGCTCCCAAGAATGGCCAGGACGGCCAGGGAAAAGCCTGAGGGTAGACACGAATTTGCATCCTTCGCGTGTACTACTCAATAAAATTCTTTCAAGAAGAATGCAGTGCAATCTACGGTGTGCATAGGCCGCAAGTTTAGCAGACCACACCGACCCGAGCGCTTTTCGACTCGGGG